GCCTATATAAGATCGTGGGTATTTTTCTGATCCGGTTGGAAAGCCATTGTGGTCCACTGTTTTGCATACATTCCTAGTTGTATTAGCTTTGAGTGTAGTGTGACAGATGAGGTTAGTGGACGAACCTGCAATGCTCAGGTCGCATTTGCTAATTTGAAGCACCTATGGCGTCAGGGGGGATATCCGTAAATATCACGTAATGCATGTATCAGGCTGCAGTACGGACTGCTCTGTTGTTTGGCTGATACCTGGCCTGTTTGGGAAGCAGAAACAGGGCGTTTTCAGGTGCTTGACAACGCTTGTCTGAAAGCCGTAGGTCGCGTGGTTTGGTGTCTGCAAATCCATCAGGTGGCAGTTACATAGCGGTTTCTCAGTTGTTCACCAGGGATTTCCACTGAAGAATGCGTCCTTGCAGTCTCCAGCTAGATCGTCATCATTGTCTGAGACAGTTGGATCGCATCAGTTCTGGCTACCTTACTAGCTCATTTATTCGGAAAATAATAATAATATAGTCGACATGATTTCAGAAATGAAGAAGGGCTGCAATGCCTCGACATGAACGATGGGTTGGATGAAGCCCAGAAGGGTGCTGCTTGTTGGCTAGATTGCCAATGTAGTTGAGTGTGTGATGATTACGGGTTTTATGAGGAAGACCAAGCTGTCGATTTCGGTAGCTACAATGTATCGGTATTGGTAAGCATAAGTCGAGTGAAGCTGGGATTTAGTGCCCTAAACGAGCGAAGTTGACATCAGGCACCCAGCCACTCACTAAACCTTCGCTACGCCTGCATCCATGGGTGCAAGTCTGAAGACGCGTGTGGACCTTATGATCCAAGTCTACGACTGACTTAGCTTTAGCTTAGCAGCGTCCACTGCTTCGTATGTTTACCGAATCCCGCTATCGAATCATAAATGTATACAAGACTCCCTCGTTATCGCCAATCGGACAGATTGAGCAAATCGTGAGTTTGCCTTTATAACAGTGAGTCTCTAGGTTCAGCGCGAGCACCAACTGGTAATTTCGGGCAAGGATATTTATTAGGCGCTTGATGAGGTAGCCATCATAACTTAGCTTAATTGTGTTTTAAACGATATCGCGGAAGATGTGTACGAGTCGTAATTGATTACACATATTTTCAGAAACCCTATCGGGTGAAAACTGATAACTGGATTGATCACAACCTATGTTTGTACCGATGCAACCAATAAAGAGAAACATCCTTTTTTAGAGGTGTTTCTCTTTTTTTCAGGCATAATCTGTTGGCAGATGCACGACGTATGGATATGGGGGACCGCCT